TATATATATATATATATATATATATATATATATAGTTTGTTTAGAGTTAACAACCTCTCAAAATACAAAGGTTCAAGTTAGAAAGGGTTGTGATGGGTGTATTTATCAAAATAATCATTATTTTTTATTAAAAAATTTATTTAAATAGGTAGCTTTATCATTAAGCAATGACAAATTTGAAATTTTTACAAAAGTACAATGGCATTTTGAAAGTTAGTGTCCTATGGAATTTTATTTGTAGAGTGCCCTTGTCTTTTAGAAAAATTTCAACTTTACTTTTTATGGAGATGACAAAAATACCCCTCATCCTATAGTAATATTTACAACATTGTCATTACTTAGTGATGAAGATATCACAAAAAGAATTTTTTTTAAAAAAAATAGACTACAAAATTAGTAAATATACCATGCAGAACTCTGTCTAGAGTACCCTCTAATCAATCATCTTGATAATGATATGTATGGACATGGAAAAAAAAAAAAAGATTTTGAGTCCAAAAAATATGGCATCTTGCAACATATTATCTCAACCGTCCATTTTCAATATTTTCATTTGTTTATAGATCTTCTTGATTTTAACTATTTTTGAAATTTAAAATTTTATAATTAAATATGAAAATAAAATAAATTTTGAGATAATCTTAATAATGTTTTACACCAAAATTATATATTATGATAAAATTTGGAGGTGCGCCTTAATTGGATTGTCTAAGGTTGCAACCTTATAAAAACCATAGAAACCACACCTAAGCTATCAAATTTCACATCGATTGGTTGTAAGTTATTGTGACCTTCTTGGATCAAAAGGAAATGGTCTCACTGTATACAATCTACAGTGGGCTCACAAGTAAAAATGAGCTCAACGGTCCAGATTGAATCTAGGCTGATTTAACCATCATGGATGTCCGATAGTGTTTGAATTTTAGGTTTTTTTTTTTTAAATCTTAATCACTTGAAATTTTAGACACGTGTTAATAAAAAATAGATGAACCTTTGAAAAATATATAAAAAAAAAATATGTTACATGAAAATAATTGACCAAAATACTCCTATAAAGATTTGGGGGTATTTTGGTCAATTCATTTTTTACGAATTATTATTTTTTATATATATTTTTATTAGGTGCGGCTTGATGAGAAGAACACACGCTTAAAATTACAAGTGATTTGGATTTTTAGAAAAAAAGTTAAAATTCAAATACTACCAGACATCCGTAATCGTCAGATCGGTCCAGATTGGCTGTTGGGCTCATTTTTTCTTGTGAGCACACTGGCTCACAGAATCATTTTCCATGGGCTCTTCCCAACGAAAATGAATAGTGATTTCATCTACTCTCATCACCATCCAAACTTCATTGTACGGTCATAATTGTCCGATAGAGTTTCATATTTTTTTTTTTCCTACAAATCCAAATTACTTGAAATTTGGAGTGCGTGTACATCTTAGTGAGGCGCACCTAATAAAAATATGAAAAAAATAATTCGTAAAATATAAATCGATCAAAATACCCTTGAAACTTTATGGGAGTATTTTGGTTAATTTATATTTTGTGAATTATTTTTTTTATATACCAAATTTTAGATCATTCCGATTAGTAAAAAAGAAAATTAAAATTAAAACACTGCAGGACAACTGTGACTGTGCGATGAAGTTTGGATGGTGATGAGGGTAGGCGAAATCAATATTCATTTTTACCTATAGGCGTTATATATATATATATATATATATATAATTTGTGAACTATTTATCATTTTTAACTTCCAATTCACGATGTGTATTTCAATTTCAATGGGATGTTTCACATTAAATCAAAAGAAGCACGTAAACTATTGAATATTTCCAATTTGGAAAAATATACAATGAGACCATTTACTTTTTGTGCAAGATGGTAACAACTAATCTTAACTATTGGATGTGAAATTGACTAAGCTCAAAATTCAAAGGAAATTTTCTCGAACTTTGTGACACATCCAAGCTATCACATTTCACATTGGATGATTGTAAGTCATTGTGACCTCTTTGTATCAAAGGTAAATGGTCTCTATACAATTTCTTAATCTTTTAGTGCAATATCCCAAATTGTTTTCAATATTACATTTGTGATACTTTTGGAGAACAAGGTGATCTATCCTCAGTCCTCGAAAAGATGCTTCTGACAGCTGATGATTTGTACAAATGAGCAGATTCCGAGAATTCAAAGGATTCTGTACGCATAAAAAAGATGGCTCTCGAAGCCCTTAATGATTTTCCAGAGGAAATAATCGAAATGGTGAAGCAAAGTGACCCAATTTCATTGAGCCTCACTTGGTTTAGGTACCGGCCACCATGGGATCTGATGCGAACAAGTTGGCACAAAGGCACAGTCACTCTATCTGGAGACGCCCTGCATGTCATGGGACCATATCTGGGTCAAGGTTGCTCAGTTGGCCTAGAAGATGCGATCGTGCTAGGCCGGTGCATCGGGTTAGCCATTCGCAAAGCGCAAGAAGAGAATGACAGGCAAACCAGAGAGGCTATAAGCTCAGCAATTGCAAAGTATGCGAAAGAAAGGAAGATGAGGGTGCTAAGGATGGCTAGCCAAACTTACCTTAGAGGCTTGCTTGCAAAGCCCATTTCACCCGTGTTGAAACTGGGCATCCAAGTTGTTTGGTTGGTTTTGTTTGGGAAACAACACAGTCATGCTCAATATGATTGTGGAACTCTCTTGGCCCCATCATAGAAGATGCAAAAATCATTAATTATAGACATATCATTTAAGGCCCAGTATCATATATTGTGTAATCCTTGTGAGACAATATTACCAATTCAACCCCCTCAAGTAAACCTCTGTGCACGAGAATGAGAGAGAGATAAAAAACTCAAATAAAAAAAAAATTCATAAAAGTAGGATTACAGCCCCAAATTTGGGCAATGCGGCAATACCACATTTTTTCTCAGCTAATAATATAACCATAACATCCAGTGTTTAAAAAATCACTTATTCGATCAGGAAGATACGGATCGGGTATTGGTTAGACTGTTTCGGATCTGACCATAAAATGAGATCCAGGTGATTTGCTACTTAGAATCGGAGAGAATCAAATTGATTATGTTATTAAAAAATCAATGATCCGATCAAGAAGATACGGATTGGGTATTGGTTAGATCGTTCCGGATCCAATCGGATCCGGATGACTTGCTACTGAGAATTGGAGAGAATCAAATTGATGATGTCACAAAACAAATCGAAACATATCACCGATTCGAATCAGATTGATGATGTCATGAAAAGAATCGGAACACGTCACCGATTCTGACGTCATAGAACTTGGGATGATTTGCTACTTAGAATTGGAGATAATCATATTGATGACATCACAAAACGAATCGAAACACTGATTCTGACGTCATCGAACTTGGGATGATTTGCTACTTAGAATCGAAGATAATCATATTGATGACGTCATGAAACGAATCAGAACACGTTATCGAACCTGGAATCAAAATATGTCATCGAACCTGAAATCTTTGTTTTTGATTTGCTACATAGAATCGGAGAGAATCAATTGATGATGTCACGAAACGAATCGGAACACGCACCGATTCGAATCAGATTGCTGATGTCATGAAACGAATCGAAACACGTCACCGATTCTAATGTCATCGAACCTGGGATGATTTGCTACTTAGAATCGGAGATAACCTGGGATGATTTGCTACTTAGAATTGGAGAGAATAAGATTCACGAAATGAATCAGATTGATGACATCACGAAATGAATCAGAGAGAATCAAATTGATGACATCACGAAACGAATCGGAGAGAATCAAATTGATAATGTCACGAATCAGATTGATGACATCACAAAATGAATCGGAGAGAGTCATCGAAATGAATCGGAGAACCTGGGATGATTTGCTAGTTAGAATCAGAGATAATAAGATTTTGACGTCATTGAACCTGGGATGATTTGCTACTTAGAATCGGAGAGAATCAGATTCATGATGTCACGAAACGAATCAGAGACAATCAAATTGATTTGCTACTTAGAATCAGAGAGAATCAGATTCACGAAATGAATCAAGTTGATGATGTCACGAAATGAATCGGAGAGAATCAGATTAATGACATCACGAAACGAATCGGAGAGAATGAAATTGATGATGTCACAAATTAGATTGATGACATCACCTAATGATCAAATTGATGATGCAAATTAGATTGATGACATCACGAAATGAGTCATCGATGATGACATCATGAAATGAATCGGAGAGAGTCATCGAAATGAATCAGATTGAATGAATCGGAGAGAATCAGATTGATGATGTCACGAAACGAATCGGTGGAATCGGATTGATGATGTCACGAAACGAATCGGAACGCATCACCGATTCTGACGTCATTGAACCTCGAACCTGTAATATTTGAATTTTTGTTTTAAAATGTCGATCCAATTGTTTTTAATCGAGATCCAGTGTTTTGGAAGACACAACTTGGGGTTTCAAGAACTGGAATCTTCGAACCTGTAATCTTTGAATCTTTGTTTTAAAAGCTCGATCCAACTGTTTTTAATTGAGATCCAATGTTTTGGAAGACACAGCTTGGGGTTTCGAACCTGTAATCTTTGAATCTTTGTTTTAAAAGCTCGATCCAATTGTTTTTAATTGAGATCTAGTGTTTTGGAAGACACAAGGGGTTTCGAGAACTGGAATCTTTGATTTAAAAGCTCGATCCCATTGTTTTGTTTTTAATTGAGATCCAGTGTTTTGGAAGACACAACTTGGGGTTTCGAGAACTGGTAATAGCTCCAAAACACAACTTGGGGTTTCGAGAACTGGTAATAGCTCGATCCCATTGTTTTAATTGAGATCCAGTGTTCTGGAAAACACAACTTGGGGTTTCGAGAAGAAGACAACTCACGCATGTGGTTCCACGGCTGCCCATCTAACACGTGCTGCGCTCATCAACCTTGTGCTGATCAGCAACATTCTTAGATGGATTCTAATACTTTATAAGTGCTCAATTCTTCCCACAATTCAATGATGTGGGATTAATTCTTTTTTACCTTCTCCTTAACCTGCTATTTAATCCCTCTTTTAGAACTTCTCGTCAATGTGCCATTTATATATCTATCATCTCTCTCACTCTCTACTCCAACGTGCCATTGATATATGGGTACAGTAGGCATACGAGCGCCTTTGTATGTATAGTGGTATGGTACCCTTCAAATTTTGTCATGGTATATAATTTTGATGTAAAATGTTATTAGGATTATTTCAAAATCTAATTTTATATCTAATTATACAATTTTAAATTTAAAAAATGGTTAAAATACACATATGAAAATCTTGAAAATGGACGGTGTAGATAATATGTTGTAAAATGCACTAACTCTGAGGCTTAAAACCTTTTTATTCTTTATAAGCATACATCTCGACATCGAGACAATCAATCAAAGGGTTTTTCAACATTAAAACTACATTTTCTGATGGATTTTTGAGGGGCATCCGTAGTTCTACATTATAAGGTAGCATCCTTATATAAACTTTTTCCTTATATTATTGATCAATGTCTTTAAATTTTGTTGTAGAATTTGGAGGACAGCTTCACCCTGGTGGACTTTTTGATCCATTGGGGCTGGCCAACTATCCAGACCAGGCTGCTTTGTTGAAGGTGAAGGAGATCAAGAATGGAAGGCAGACCATGTTTTTGTTTTATATTTTTTGAAGATTCATCTATTTTTGATGAACACACGCCTATAATTTCAAGTGATTTGGATTTGTAAAAAAATAAATAAAATTTAAATACTATTGAGCGTACGTGATTGCCAGATCGGCCCAGATTCAATCTGAACCGTTGAGCTCATTTTTACTTGTGGGCCTACTAGTTCATACGATCATTACTTGTGAGCTCACTAGCTCACATGATCATTTTCCATATATATATATATATATATAAAGTTGGGTATGGTACCCTACCTAGCATAGTAGGTATTGGATGAACCCCTATGACTCGGGTCGTGTCCAGGTCAAATAGATACAAATGCAATTGGCCCTTCGGCCCGGTGGGTTGACCCAACCCATTGCCATCCCTAGTATACAAAACATGATAAATATATGTAATGGAGATTATGCCATACACAATTATGTATTGCATGCCATGTTCCATTCAAACATCAATTGTCCATTGTCGAGGATGAATAGTGGTGATTAAATATAGTGACAGACATTCATCAAGGTTTGGTATATGCAACCTTGTGCCACTGAGAATGGATGGCGGATGCCCTAGAGGTGATACGTTAAGCTTGTTGTTTTAGTTTTCAAGCCAAAATGATATATATCCTAGGGGCATTCTCATCATGCACGCAAATCACCTCCAAATATAATAGATTCTTGGGAAATTATAAAAATATTTCTTAATTAATAGATAATTGGAAATAAATCCCAAACTTTGGAAAACCTCATCCATACACTATTTTTAAGTGAGTTGACGAAAATAATCTTCACGGTAGTTTTAGAACTTTGAAGACATCACGGTAGACTCACTACCCCGATAGTAATAGCCAGTTGAATGTTTTGAGGCATCACGGCATTTAAATTGCCACCATGGTTGTTAAATGGCATCATGACACTTAAAAATCCATGATGGTCCTTAAAGGTTATTATGCCCCATGACAAAGGAAATACAATGCTCTTAACGACCATCATGGCTTTTTAAGTGCCATGATGCCTCTTAACGATCATCATGGTTGTTTAAGTGTCACAGTGCCTCTTAACGAGCATCATGGTTGTTTAAGGGTCGCAATGCCTCAAAACATTCAACCGCCCATGACCATCATGGTAGTGAGTCTACCGTGATGTCTTCACAATTCTAAGACTACTATGATGACTATTTTGTTAAAAATAAAAAATAAATACAAAAATTTAAGAAAAAAAATGTATGGATGAGGTTTTGAAAAGTTTAGGGTTTATTTTCAATAATCCAAAAATAAAAGCATATTTTTTATACAATAAAACTATTTACTTTTGGTACAAAAATGTCAAAAAAAAAAAAAAATCAATTAAACAAGATTTGTAAGCACAACCTAAATACTGTATGTAGATAGAAACTTTCTGATTTGGCAGGAAAGAGTTTCGATGCGTGAAGACGAGTGATCTGATGGAATCTCTAGCACATGAGTTACCACCCTGAACGATCCGTTTCAATTGCAGAGCAATCAGTGTTGAGATTTCGACTTCTTCTGATCCCATTCTTCATCTAGACAATGGCAAAACAATAAGATCAAAGGTAATTATCTGGCACAACAATAAGATCAAAGGTAATTATCAAATTAAGGGTAATTTAATATCTTTCCTTGTGATAATTTAAGATGATATGTCATCAACATCATCATCATCATTTTATCATTATTATTTTAGTGCTTAAGTTGGAAAAAGCAATTATTTTGTAGATAAACTACAATACACAGCCACTTATTATTGCTTTCCTTGAGGACATCAGGCAAAGTTCATTCAAAGATTGTGTCTATAACCCAACCTTATATGAGAATGTGTGTCATTTCAATGGGAGGTTAGTTATTATAAAAAGAAGTAGGGTGCATTAGTACACTTCTCTGGAAGCACATTGTGCACTTACTCCTTCGGGCAAAAGAGTGATCTTTTGGACAAATGTTTTGTGTTCCACATTGCAATCACCAGATGAGCATATACCATTGAATCTTAGTTTGATATATTTTCCTTTGGAGGTTGGTCGTAAGGTTGAGGAGGTCAAGTCTCCAAACTTGGGCT